TTTTTTTTTTTTTTTTTTTTTTTTTCATTTTTACGCTCTGCCGTTACTTGAGTATTTACTCCCGGAGAACACGCGAAAGGCTGTTAGTCGACCTTCGTTGGTTCCCTCACTCCCTCGCCCTGATCCTCTTTCACTATCTGATATGCTCTTTGAGTCTTTTCAAGGCTTCGACTTCCGTTCCCGAGGGAGCAAGTGTCGGCTGCTCTTTCCTCGGTAATTCAGGCGACGTGTGTCCGTTTCCTTTCTTCGTCTCTGTTTCTCTCCGGACACAGTTCGCCTCCCACGAATCAATCTTTTCCGAAAGAATCATTCATTTTTAATGTTCACGCTTTGTCCGTTCAGCTGGTTCTTCTTCTCTGTTCCGAAAAGGACCCGACCGCCCAAGGAGTGGAGACTATCGAAGACTACTTGTAACTGTACTCGAACCTACTCGAATTTCAGTCTATCTACTGATCATCAGATGAGATTAAATTTGGTCATTACTTTACGTGGAAGAAAAAACTTTTTAACGAGTTCGCGTAGGAAATAAAAAAGTGACTCCCCGCAAACTCAGCTCCGTTCCTTCCCGTCTTTCGAATCTTCCCGAAAGACTTGAATTGCGCAGCCGTCCAGCTTGCGTAGGACGCCAGGGTCATAGGTCAGCTGCAACTTTTAATTCAACAAGTTGGCTGCGACTCCCATTCCTCTCGGAGGCTCGAAAGGCAGCTCGTGAATAGCGCAGAGCGTAACTCTTCCGGCGATCCCGGAAAAGAAAGACGTTCGTGTTTGACGTTGTGTCCCGCGAGTGGTTGGGCGAGCGGGCGAATGGGCGAATGGGCGAATGGGCGAATGGGCGAATGGGCAAATGGGCAAATGGGCGATCCTCGGCAGTGCATAATTCAATGGCCGAAGCGTGAAGCCTCCATTCACGTCGACGTGGTACAGGATGTTGGACTGTGATCGGCCATCATAGGGCAGCCTCCGCTCTATGCCATCTCGTTCTCCTATCTGTGTAGAATGCTGCCCGTCCGCTGATAAATGACAAATGGATTCGATTCACTGATAAAGCAACGATAAATCACGTCCATTGTATATCAACAAACAGGCCGCGTTCGCTCGCTATTAATTTTTGCTCTGTGGAATACCGCACCCGTCGCGGGACATCTATCCCTGCCACCACAACCAACTGCAAACTCAATTCCAATTTACGAATATAGCTTTGTTTTGGTGTTCACGAATCGGCTCGAGATAGCCAATCCGCATTTTCACTCAACTAGGCCTCATTTTTTTATTTTACCTCATTCGTTACTTTATTCACAATTATGACACATTACTTCGAAACCAACGACAACTTTGGACATAAAATAGTCCCTTTTG